GTCTACATTGTTTTTAAAACATGGAGATGGAAGGATTGTGCAAGAGTTTTTCTGTTTGTTTTTTGTCACCACCAAGGTTCCTCTTTGTCAAACGTGGCGCCCAGTGGAACCGCATCTCAAGTCTCGAAACGTGAGGAGGGTGGTGTTGCTTCCAGAGCCATCGATGGAAACAGTAACACTGATTTCTTGGCTGGATCTCCTCCTGAATCTCCAAACTTCCCAGAACTGGCTGCTCCCTCGCCCTCCTTCAGCACGGTGGTGTCGGGCCGGGGTATGGTGGAGAAGAAGCTGTGCTGGTCGGATGCTCTGTTCTACTGCAGAGACTTCTACTCGGACCTGGTCAGCATCCGCAGTAAGGAGGAGCAGAAGGAGGTGGAGGAGGTGCTGAGAACCGCCTCCTTCCCCCTCACACAGCATGTTTGGGTGGGACCGCGCAGGTACTGTCTAATAACAAGGGCCACTTCATCAAAGGTGGATTCTCTCATCTTTCATTCTTTGTAAAAACACTTAATGATTGTGAGTGTAGTAAAATACTATAATGCATATTGCCTATCTCTTACTTTCTCCATCTTTATATATTAAAATGACTATGTAAAGGTAAACCAAGCCATTGTATACTATTCAGGAACATTGTATACAATCATTAGCCCTCCATATGACTCTCTCTCAAAAATCTTTACGTTTAAAGTTCAAATATCCTCACTTTTAGGTCCCTGATGGATAGCATTTGGTTTTGGATGTTTGGCACCTCAGTAAACTACAGCTACTGGAAGACACATTCCCCCTTGCAAATCTCCAGTCCCTGTGGGGGCGTCGACACCAGCGACCCCTTCCATTGGACGGATGTCCCATGTGGAGATCACCTTTACTTCATCTGTTTGACAGGTGAGCACTTCTAAAGTTTTCTAAGTCCCTTTTTTATTTAACAGTTTATTAACTTGAGCTCCCAACCCTCTTACACGTCTCTTCACAGACGTTCAGGAAGAAGTCAAAAGAGTGACGTTCTACAGCAGCACCAGAGCATAATCTCAGATGATCATGAAGAGGAACTCAGTCTCACTCACTTCACTTATCTTCATCGCCCATCTGTATTGTCTTCCCAGCAAATGCACATTCAAATGATTTGGATTGGAAGGCAACTACCGGGCATTAATAATACATCCTTCCATTTGTTGATTGCTTTCATCTCTCTGCAACCATGAAGTTGCATATATTGAGACACAACTTTATCTATATGTCAAGAAAAGTTACTTTTTTCTGAGTTATTCAATTCTATTTTTAAGATATGCTAATTATATTCAGTGAGCATGCTAATTTCAGTAGATATCCTTTGCAACACAATACAGACTTCTTTGACAAGTTGCATTATGTTTCCAATAAATGCTTTTGCAGCTTTTCCTTTACTCCATCCCTTTTTAATCTTCCTTGTGTGAATACATAAACAATCAATATCACTAGCCTTCCTTGGCTTTTCCTTTATTACTCACTAATATGTCTACAGTTTCACTTTGTTGATAAGAGTAAATGTATGCAGATGATGTGGTGGTGTGGAAGTATTTCCTCATTAAGCGCTCTTATTAAAAAGTCTATTCATTAAGACCTCTATCTTTATTCCTCCAGGCTGCCATCCCTCCATCTATCTCACCTCTATCTGTTGCCCTTCCCTCTCTTCTCCCCTGCCTCCTCATCATCGCTCATTACGGCCCTGATGGAGAGTAAACAAGGCCATCTTTTCCTTCCATTGTTCTCTCCATCCTTCCTTTCTCTCTGCCTCAATAAACACATGGACGGCTCTTCCTCCCTAAACCTGCTCACCTCTGCCTCCTCTTCCTCCCCCCTCCTGTCTCTCTCCGTCTCATCTGTCTTTGCATTAGTATGCAGAGGAGGAGAAACAATAATATTCCTTCATGTGCCTCCCACTTCCTCCATCACTCTGCCCTCCATTTCTGTCTTTGCTTCTTCCTCTAATGCAAGATCCCAATGCCTAATCTAATAATGAATCCAAACTCTGTTTTATTAAGTCATCAATAAAGGTTTTAAGGGCTTTTTTTTAATAATGTCTAATGATCAATTGGGGATTTTTTGTTAAGTGATGATGTCATCCTTTTTTATGCATTCTAATAAAGCAAGTGGCCTTCAAAGCAAGTCTATGAAACATGACATTGTTGATATTCTTACAAACAAAAGGTTCATTGATAAGCAATACAACATATTGACTACCAAACTTTTTCTATAGATATATTGGATGTGTTCATGACCAAAGTAATATTTCTGGACAAGACAAGTTTAGTACATTTGTATTCATCTACTCATTATTAGATTGATCGATTTTGATATATATATATATCATCTATATATATATAGATTAGGCTTATTTAATATTGAATATCAGTGAATAGTCGAAAATTCCCACTAGTCTCAAGGTGTCATCCCAACGCCTTTTTTTGTCTGACCAACAGCCCATAATTCAAAGAAAGACTACTTAATTGAATAGAAGACTAATAAAACCACTTGGCTAAAGACTTAACCCTCTACACAGCATACTGTTGCCCTCAGGCAACAAACCACTTTTTTCGACCTCACACTGGCCCTCTAAATATTTTATATTAAATATACACAATGTCACCTGACATGCTGGTGTCCAATAAAATAAGGGAATTATATGGGTGTGGCATTTTGTCTGGGGGTGGAGCAGTCCTTTCTGCAAGCAAAGCTGCAGGGGACTCAGGGCCACCACTTGGTAAGATTTCACTTTTTAACATATTAGAAATGTACACAACTTAAAATAAAAAATACATGCATGTGCATGAATACGTAAAGAAGTACATTTGATTGTTTATAGACTTATTATGTATTTATTAATTAGCTAAAACTATGTTTTTTTGTTCGTTGTCTCAGGGCATCACTGTGCACTTGACCACTTTTTTCCAGGCAATATCATGCAAGTGTGCAAATGTGCTCAGCTGTAAAATGATAAAGCGAATCAATGTTTTTACCATCTACTGATATTTACAGGAAATGGACCCCAAAACATGTTATGGGCAGAAGGGACACGATCAGGCTGTTAGGGCTATTCCGTCTGACAGTGAGGACAGTGAAGGTCAAGATAGGGTTATCCCCTAATCCCACCAGGAGCGTCTGCGCTGCGGCTGCGGCGTTTTTAGCAATCGCGGCCACTCTAGTCAATGTGTGCTATTCCACCAGACCCGCTGCGCCGCGCTGCGCCGCGGCTCGAAGCGTCCCAGAAGCTCCTCGCCGCAAGGAATTTCTAAAATATAGGATGAATCCTATTTTTGACGCGGCGCAGCGCAGCGGGTCTGGTGGAATACTGCAGCGCAGACGCACACATAGACAAACACATACACAGACACACACAGAGAGACACACACATACAAACACATACACGCACAGACACACACACAGAGAGACATACAAACACATAGACACATAGACACACACACACACACACACACACACACACACACACACACACACACACACACACACACACACACACACACACACACAGACATACAAACACATTCACACAGAGAGACATACAAACACATTCACACATAGACACACACACGCACAGACACACACACACACACACACACACACACAGAGAGACATACAAACACATACACACAGACACACACACACACACACAGAGAGACATACAAACACATTCACACAGAGACACACACATACAAACACACACACACACGCAGAGAGACATACAAACACATACACACACACAGAGAGACATACAAACACATACACACAGAAACACACATACATACACGCACACACAGACAAACACACACGCACGCGCGCGCGCACACACACACACACACACACACACACACACACACACACACACACACAAAGAAAACCTTTTGAATTCAGAGTTGTTTTTTCTATTTCTTCTGAATTGTAGAAATCCTTGGTGTTTCAATACCCTCGTAGCACAGTGTTGCCCTGAGGCAACAAACCAACCCCTGGTTGAGGGGTGAGGGGGGGTCACATTTTATAATTGATATAATATTAGGGACCCCTAAGCTCCTAAAACACATGGGGTAACATTTTTTTCCTCCCAAAATAAAAAGTCATGCCAAGAGAGTTAAAGGTGGGGTAGGTAATTTTGGAGAATCCAGCTCGAGTGCGCTAGAATTTGAAAATACACAGCCGGGAAAAATCTGCCACTTCCTTACAGAGCCCCTCCTCCAACACACACGAACGCGCACATGGCCAATGAGGGCACGAGATAAGTTTGTGCACAGATGGAAGGCTGACAGGCAGGTAGGCCATCCAGTTATTTTAGCCGGGCCGGCTCAGATGATTGGTCGTGCTTTTTACAGTACCCCACCTTTAAGGCAACTATGGATTTGAAAATGTCTGGATGGGTATTTCTAAGAGTTGATAGGCATATTTAAAAATGTGTTGCAGGCCAAATCAACTACAACAACATAACTAAAGTTGGGGGAAAATGGATTAGAATTAGAATTGCCCTAGTAAAATAAATGTACATAGAATAGTTTAAAAACATTGGCTATAAAGAAGGGGGATGTAGCCTAATTAACACACGGTAAGCCTTGGTAATTGTATATCAATAAATAAGACACATTTTGGCAAATATTCACAAAATGATCTTGTCAAATCATACTGTACGTATTTGTGTTGGTATTTCATGTAAATATTGCTCTATATCTCTCTGTTATAATAGTTGTGTGGCGCTTTTCTTACAATGCATCTTGCAAATTCCAGGTAGGCCTATGTGTAAACAGTAAAACCTACTTAATAAACGTGTTTCTGATGTGCACACAGAGTTTGGTAAATGGCTCCAAGTCTCTATGAATTTGGTCTCAGGTTCTCAGTGTTCCCAACATCTCCATTCCTGGGTAAGGGGCTCTTCTCTCCCCTCTCTCTCTTTAGGACCCTGTGGCACCTGCTGATCCCTCGGAGCCTTGACGTCAGGCGGTAAACGGGGAGATCTCCGGTGCGCGGCGGAGCGGTGCCCAGGCACAGCGTCCGACCAGCGCGCAACGCAGGCGGCTGCGGGTCCACCAGCAGCGGCAACAACAACACCACTCACATCCATCATCATCAGGAAGGAAGGTGTACATCCACACACCGGCTCTCTCCCCTGTTTCTGAAGCGGTCCCCTTCTCCTCCGCACTATGTCGTCTACGGTCACCGAGACGGAGGATTCGGCGCGCAGCTCACCGGTCACGCCGCTGAAGCTGGTCGGGCTGGTGTGCGTCTTCCTCGCGCTCTGCCTGGATGTGGGTGCCGTGATGAGCCCCGCGTGGGTGACTGCCGACGACCAGTACTACCTGTCCCTGTGGGAGTCCTGCTGGAAGCCTGCCAGCACCGACAACTGGCAGTGCAGCAGCACGCTGGTTTCAGGTAAATCAGGATTTAAGGCTTATTATTATATTATTATACACCCGGTTATTACCAGGTGTCTTCTATTATGCATTATCAGGAGCTGTTTATATGGTAGATAACAAAGAGTTGATCTCATGACATGATTAAGGGATGCTTCCTCAACATGCTCAAATATATAATAAGTGTATTATTACTGTCTCTATCCAAAGCCTCATACTGTGACTCCACTGGGATAGCCACACTAATTAGTGTGGAGTTGAGATGAAGAAATTATGCAGGCTGGAATTAACTTCCAAAAGATTTGCATTCATTGTGATTTTGAATATTATTTCTGCTTTTTGAAGGAAAAATGGGTCATGCATTTAAAAAAGAAGGATTGCAGTTTGTTAAACCTGCGCCAAAGGATTCTGTTCACATTGACATTCCTTCTCACCCCTCCTCCTAAAAGCAGACGTGACATTTTGAAAACACAAACGTGTAGTAAATAACCCTGTTAATGTTTTTTTTTAATTTAGAGCTGAAACAATTATTAAAATTCATAATGAGGCACTTTTGATCATCTATTGATCACGTTGGTCATTTATTAGATCAAATAATCAAATTTCATTTTTTCATTATATTCCATAATATTAAAGTGAATACCTTTGATAACAAGTCATTTTAAGATGGAATTGAATAAATTGATTCAAAAAGAAAGTTAGTTGCAACCCTTCAAATACATCTTTTGTTTTATTTTATGTTAAAATTAAATGATAGAGCATTTCTCTGTTATCATGTCTAAAAGAGGATAATAATAATAATAATACAAATAATAATAATAATACTTTTTGGCCCTTCTAAGGGAACTAAAAGTCAATTGAATGCTGCTAAGAGCTATAACGTATTCACCCTGTTTTTGCAATGATCATCACCATAATATCAATGCAGCAAAACTGCCACCAACTTCATCAGCTCCCCTGGGTGTGACCACATACCTGCACGTATTCATTCATTCGTCAGGGCAGGAGAAGGGGGGAAATAAATGTGCTGGCTCATCCCGTTTCAATATCACTTACTTTTGTACCCTCACGATTCTTTTGTTGAGGAGGAATCGTCCTTGTTGTCACACCCAGGAGAGGGCTTGCAGTTTTTGGGGCGGGGTTTATCTTTGGAAGTTGGATTGGTTTCCAGGGAAACAAGAGTTCACGAGCACTACTTAAATTGAGGTGAAAGTGTCTTTGTTTACTGCCACTGAGACTCTGGCGCTGATAAAGCTCATTACACTGAGGGGCATTAACAATGGAATCACTTTAAGAGGTCTTTAAACTGTCAGATAGGGTGACAGACTCCATCTATATATTGCTAAAATGTACTTCACAAAATTACTTACATTTAAAGAATCTATCTATATATATATATATATATATATATATATATCTATCCATCCATCCATCCATCCATCCATCCATCTATCCATCTATCTGAGTATCATAGATCATGATTTGTGTGCGTGTGACAGAAAGGGAGTCTGTAGTGTGTGTGTGTGTGTGTGTGTGTGTGTGTGTGTGTGTGTGTGTGTGTGTGTGTGTGTGTGTGTGTGTGTGTGTGTGTGTGTGTGTGTGTGTGTGTGTGTGTGTGTGTGTGTGTGTGTGTGTGTGCCAATAAGAGGCTCCCACGTCGAGCTGACCTATTTCTGGACAGTCTCCTCTGAAGCCCAGCTGAATATTTCATGTCACACTCTGATTTCTCTGTTGTTGCTCACACACACACACACACACACACACACACACACACACACACACACACACACACACACACACACACACACACACACACACACACACACACACACACACACACACACATACACACACACACACACACACTGATCCTTAAAAAAAACACAATTGTATCATTTGGCTTGTTCTAGAACAAAACACATAAAAGTAGAGCAACTACATTACATTAACTTGAACTACACTATGAAGAGTCTTTAGAGAAAAAACATTAGAAAAATGATATTAAACGGGCTTATATGGTCCTCTCAAGACCCAAGGGAACACCAACAAGCTTTACACAAATGCTTCCCCCCCCAACAACAAGCATCAGATGTAATGTATGCACACAGATCGTAACACCTCCATCAGAGTGAGAAATGTTCAGTTTACAACATGCACAGCATAGCCGCTGATTAATTAGAGTGGGATGGAAAACAAAGGCATAAAGGAAACATCTGACTCTGCAGAACTGCTGTATAAAGACCAGCTGCAGCAATTAAAATATGAGTTTCATTGCTAACTGATGCAGGTAGAATGATAATAGGTATTATTTTGGAGCTTCTGCAAAAATATGTGGATTTTCCCAGTCATAATTACAGCTTTTATGTTGCTGAAATCTCTTTTCTTCCTCAAACTCACTTCTCCAGCAGCGCCAGGCACTTTCTATAAATGTCATATCTGAATAAAGTCATGCAACATTTATGTGCCGCTCTGACAAAAAGGCCATCACTTTAACCGATAGATGAAGCAACGTTACGTCAGGATGTTTGATACTGATGGCAGTGGCCAACAGACACTTCAATCACCAGCAGTGTGTGAGATCAAATCAGCGCCACACAGAAATCCTCGAGTCGAATGTCGTCATATTTGACAAATAGAACACGGCTTCAGATGAAAAATCTTAAAGTGGGCACACACACAAACACACACTGTTGCTAGAAGTTACACCTAGCAGTCAACCTACTTTCTTCCTCCTTTTCCTCCCCCCTCATCTCCTCCTGTCTGGCTCAGCCTCCGCCTAAATTTCACGCTCAATCTCATGAACAAACATATCTGTGTCAGGTTTAAAAATGCAACAGCAATAGCGTTAAATAAAACCAAAGCAAAATACATTTCAGGGAACAAAAGATAGCTGTTGCTACCGACAGATGTGTCATTCACCTGACCTTGAGAGAAGATGAACCCACTGTTGGGATTGCAGGAGAAACCATTACTTAAAGCGAGGAAACCATAACATGTTTATAATTTCTTACACTTTGTTAACCATTTTTAAATGTATGAGATTTCCCAGCATAAAAGCCATTTGATTTATTAATGATCAAATCCCAAAAGATGTACTGAATGTCGACACCTTTTGTGTACAGTGATGTCATTTCTGACCAGTCTTTGTTGTCACAGATCTGAGATCAGTCGCCTACATCCTCCATTAACGCTGCCCCCTCCCGTCTGCCCCTCTCATCTTTCTCTATCAGCCCATCGATCCGTCCCTCCCTTTTACTCCCTAGGCCCTTTCCGTCTGCACTCTCAAATGAATTGTCCCCTTACTCAAACCTCCTCCCAATTCATTTTTCCATCTCCTTTTTGTTTGTACCTCATTCCCTTTCTTCCTCTCCCCCCCTCCTCCCACAGGGCTTTATTGTTACATTTCTAATGTAAATCATTTCCCCTTTGTAATTTCACCATCCTCTATGTCCCTCTATCCATTTATCCAGGGTCAAGTCTCTCCCTCTTTTTTCTTCTTCTCTCCTCCCTCACCCCCCCTCCCTGCTTTCTCTCCCCCTCATCTCCTCTGACTCCATCGCTCCTCTCAGTGAGTGGAGCCCCCAGAGACCCCGTTCTATTTGTAGCAGCAGGACGAGGAATGGGAAATGATGTGGCAGGCAGACAGACAGGGGAATAACCACAACACACGAACAAGAACACAACTGTAACTTTTATTTATTGTATATCTTTTAAATCATTTCCTTGTTTTTGAATTTGTATCTGCAATGTTCACTTGGAATCAAACTGGATTTTGTTGCTTTACATATCTTGGTTGTTGGTTGTTTTGCAGTTCTTTACAGTAAAGAGAGAATGTGACAGTGCAGCGCAGTAATCCTGTCACATGACAAACAGTCACATTCCAGCACGAGGTATTTCTCCCTGCGAGTGAGAACAGCTCACTGTGTGTGAGAAGCTGGTGCAGGCACTAATTAGAAAGTGACATACCCCAACCATGTGTGTGTGAGAAAGAACGAGGTTTGATACGGTACATGTGACACATTGTGCGGTTCCTATATGTGCCCGTGCGATACATTTTTAAAACTTCAAACCAGCCAGAGAGAGACAGGGAGGAAAGGCTTTGCATATCGTATGTGTATGAGAGCTAAACTGCAAAGAGTTTTATGGTTAAAGCCATGTTGTGCATGTGTGTGCGTGAGCGAGAAAGAGGGGGTGAGGTTAATGTAATTTCTTTAGCGACAGTATGTGTCTTTACATTCAAATTAGGAAGATCTTGGTTGATACTGACGAGCTAGGCTAACTAGGCTAGCCTCATTTTTCCTGCAAATCTTACATGAAACACGTATAAAAACGCCAAATCTGCCTCAGGTTGTCAGAGAGAAATGTGAATCTCACTAAAGTATGAACACATTTGGTGTCACAACTGATTGGTTATTGGATTCCTTCCACTTTCATGCTGACATTTGATTGGTTGTGGCTGCTTACCCAGATTGAAGCAGCTCATGGCTTCGAGGAAAGCAAGGACTGATATCCCACCTGACCTGAGCCCCTTTTCTATCCCTCTACCTCCCTACCTCTGTCCTTGTTGTGTTGCGTATAGAGGGCAACATTTCCTGCAACTATTTTGAAGACATCTGAATAGTTTTTTGTCCAGAAGACGATCCTCAGCATCAGTCAAATTGAAAATGTCTGGTTGCTTTCCATTTGAATGACAAGATGCTTCTGATTGTCCTCTCCTCTTCCTGCTCTCTATCTTCCTCCCTTCCCACTTTATCCTCTCTCCTTTTAATTTCCTCCTTTCCTCCCACTATCCATCTCTGCATCTTTCACCTCTCCTTCTACCTCCAAATATCACATTTTCCTTATCTCCCCCTCCATCTTCCCTCTTTCATTAGCTTTTTTACCAAACTAAGGGAGTACATTTCACCTGACCATATTTACACAACCTAAACAGCTTCAATACTAACAGCTACATTTCATTGCTGTTTGATCCAGATCTTTAAGTTTGCCTTTAAAGCTTATACTTTATTTATGAACGTCTTTTCTCATGTATCGTATCCTAGTTCAGCTGTGCACAGAAATAGGTTTTACAGCAGCTTACATGACCACTTTGACAGCATCAGGTGGGAGAAAAGGTGAGAGAAATGGTCAAATCTCCTTTCTCCACCTGAGCCCAGATGGATTTAATGATGAGGTGTGTGTGTGTGTGTGTGTATGTGTGTGTGTGTGTGTGTGTGTGTGTGTGTGTGTGTGTGTGTGTGCGCGCGCGTGTGTAGCCTATATGTGTGTCTATATCTAGCCGTCTGTATCTAGTGTCTATATCTAGCCGTCACACCAGCATGGCAAATAGAGACATTTCACAGTGAAATCCATCCATTCCAACGGATCTGTTTTCTTAGAGAACCAAGTGAACTTTAGCCCACTAACTTTAGCCCACTAACTTTAGCCCACTAACTTTAGCCCACTAACTTTAGCCCACTAACTTTAGCCCACTAACTTGAGCCGGAGATCATTTTTTCTAATTCACAATAAGATGTATTAATAAAGAAAGTACCGTACATTGTACAAGAGCATTGCAACATGTCGCTAATAGGAGTTCTAATTTCTCCGTCCCTTGAAATTGACGTAAATATGTATAGAGGAATTCCATTGTGACACTCTCTTGTGTGGCCAAACAAAAAGCAAAGTGACATTGTGTGTGTGTGTGTGTGTGTGTGTGTGTGTGTGTGTGTGTGTGTGTGTGTGTGTGTGTGTGGGTGTGTGTGTGTGTGTGTGTGTGTGTGTGTGTGTGTGTGTGTGTGTGTGTGTGTGTGCTATTCCAGCACCACAGTGCTCCCCTATATATAAACGCGGACAGATTTTTGATAACGTGCCAGTAAAGCTTTTTCGCCAAGGCTTTTTGTCAGCTCAGGTATACTAAGTGCTCTCTCCCTCTCTTCATTACTTTCACTCAGCGCTGCTCGGTCCCCCGCCCCTTCACGCCGCCCCAAACCCCCCCCCCACCTCCTCCTCTTCCTCCTCGGCCTTCACCACAAGCAACCCCTCCTCTTCTCCACCTCCTTTTGGCATTTATTTTCATTCTGCCCTCTGTCCTTGTAGCATTATCAGAGACGCTTCATCGCCACCAAACCTCTCCTGATCTCACTTTAACTTGTCTCTGTCGGTTTTCTCCCACTTTTATCCATTATTAACTTTGTTTTTTTAAACACTCCTTGCTTTTTCATGTCTTCCCTCTTTCCTTTTGCCTTCCCTTCCATCTGCCTGTCTTTTTCTTCCATCCTTGCTCCTTCTAAGTGTTCCCTTAAGGACATCACACCCTTTTTCTTTCCTTTTCATTCTCTCTTTCTCCTAACTTCAGTCCATCTTCCTTCATCTTCCTCCTCCTTTCATCATCCTCACATCCTTCCTGCTATATCCTTTGATTAATCCCATCCCTCTCATTCCCTTCAACCTTCCTTCCTTCCCTTAAATTGTCCCCTTGCTTTCCGTTTTTACCTTCACTTTCTTTTATGTGTTCATGCTTCCTTAATCCCACCATCATTCTTTTTCATTGCCTCTTTCCTACCCGGCCCCCTCCCTCTTTATCTCCCTTATCCCATCTTTCCTTCAACTTTCTACCCTTTTTTTATCATCTTTTCCTCCTTCTTTCACATCATTGTCCTAATTCCTTACGCCTTCCATTTTAATACCTTCCTTCCTCCTGTCCTCACCTGCTCCTTTGTTCTCCATTTAATCAACATGGGCTTGTGGTAAAGGCAGTGATATAAAATGTCAAATCAAATGATATGTTTCTGGTGGCTCTGTCTCTCGTCCCAGGCCCATTTGTGATTTTTCGCATTTCATTTTTATCTATACAATATTACATTTATTCACGATTGTTCCCTCTGTTACTTTGTCACGTTCTTCTTCTCTTTACCAATTTCTCTGTCATCCATCACTAACCTTTGGTCTTTTCTCGTCCTTCTGTTTTCCAGACTGGCAGGTTGCTACGCTGGCCCTGTTGCTAGGGGGTGGAGCCCTGGTGCTGATGTCATTCCTGGTCGCTCTGGTCGCCGTGTGCATCGGCACGAGACGACGATTCTACGCACCCGTCGCTTCCATGCTTTTCGCTGCAGGTCAGCACACACACACACACACACACACACACACACACACACACACACACACACACACACACACACACACACACACAACACACACACACACACACACACACACACACACACACACACACACACACACACAACACACAGCACACACACACACACACACACACACACACAATGAACTGCTGTCAATACACACTCAGTAGGTCTGGGTCTGAGGCCACACACACATTATACACACACCTGATGACACAACACACACTTACACACTTAATTAGCCAATTTAGACAAGGTAATAGGAAGGTTGAAGTTATCATATTGAAAACTAATATGCATTTAAATGATAATTCTTACTTATTAAATGTGCACACAGACCACACTACACACACTCAGGCTTACACACACTTTTTTCTTCTCTCCCTCAAACTCATTTAGAGAAAATCCTATTTTTATAAGTCGGGTCAGAGCGGAGAGTCATGCCTGTCCCTTTAATTTCCCTCGCCAGCCCAAATCTCAAGCTGGACGACTGACAAGTTTCCTCCTTTTTCCTCGTTCTAACCTCCCGGGAATAATTGGAAATTGTATTTATTTTTAGGCGTGAAATGTTTGATTTTCCAAAGCTGGATGTGTTGCCTTCTGAATGTCACTGAAGGGAAAAAACAAGGAGACAATCTTATTTAAAGGGCTGGTGTTGGAAAATTCAGAAGCTGTGTGATTTCTCAGAGTCTTCTTATCCTGGAAATACTTTCAATGGATCTATACAAAGTAAAAAGGCTTAAAGCAGATTGGATATAAACATGTTTATATTTGTTACTTAGGATTGATATGTTAAAAAGTCCCTATTGTGACTTTTGGGGTTTCCATTTCCTTATATTGTTGAATATTCAGGGTTGAAAGTGGAAAAAACAAGCGCCAAAAAACACAAAAATAAGACACAAACTTGAAGAAGTTGTTGTAGCTGGATTTTGTTTTGCATAATCATAACAGCACATCATAAAAGTTTAGAGAAGGATTTTAGTTAGCATTAACTTTGATGCAATTAAATCAATATTTAAAGCATTCAGCTTCATTTCAGAGGGAGCAAAACAGGGATAGAATCTATGAATACTGACAAACAAACGCACAAAAAACCCTAGCTGTCAAAATAAAGTTGTTTTGCCGTGATGGAACACAAACAACATCTGTAAAATATATTTTAAAAGCGGAGCACAGAGGCAAAGTGTGTTGAATGGACTTTAAAGAGACCCCTCGGGGAAAGATGGCTCACATACACTTTTCTTGACAACTAACTACTTCTTTAAAGCTGCATTGCACACAATCTGTGGTAATGTTCGCGTGTTTTTGGATGTTATGTAACCCGTGTTAGTTGTTTTGTTTGCGTTCCCACAAGATGAATTCACTTTGAAGAAACAACAATTCATGTGTTCTCCTTTGTTCTTCTGCCATCCAACCCCCCCTTCCTTTTTATATATCTATCTCTCACCCCCCTCGTCCATCTTTTCCCTCATCTCTTCATCAAACTCGTCCTGTGTCCTTGGAGCCTGTAGTCCACCTCTGTCTCTTCCTCCTGTTCCTCCCTCCTCCCTCAGCCCTGCTCCTTGCCTCCTGCCTGATCCAGTTTGATTTATTTTGTTTTTCAAAGCTGTGCTAAATGAACTAAACAGAACTAAATGAAATTCCCCCGAGGCTCTTCACGACTCAGTCGATGCTAATTTCTGCTATTTCTCTAGAATTTCTCAAGTGTTTGTACGTGACTGCTAACAAATGTGAAGTTAAGTACAGCTGACCAATCAGAAGTTGTCTTTTTCAGGAGGGGCCTTAGAGACAGGGGCTAAAACACAGTGTTTCTGACAGAAGGTCAATACAGATAGAAAGTATGAGAAAAATAATGTGTTTCTTTTAACATTACAGCACGTAAACATATTCTTGTTCTGTCCATTATATATATGTCTCCTTTAATAAATGACACTTATGGTCTTCCTGTCCCCTCCAGTGGTCCTGCAGGCCTTCAGCTTGGTCCTCTACCCCATCAAGTTCGTCCAGAGCATCAACCTGAGAATCTACCACGAGTTCAACTGGGGCTACGGCCTGGCCTGGGGGGGGACCATCTTCTCCTTCGGCGGGGGAATCCTATACTGCTTGAACCCCAAGAACTACGAGGAGTATTACTAGCTCCAAATCAAGCTGAGAACGTAAGGTATTCGAGGGGGAAAACGGCTCATCTCCCATGAACTGTAAAGAGTACTATAAACCATTTTTGAGCCGATAACTATATTTCAATGAACCCTGGGGGCAATTGAAGGGGTTAAGCTGGTTGTCAAGGATTTATTTTCTTGCCTCGGTGAACAGAAGTGAGGCTGCATATTGGAACCAGCCGTAATGTCACCAGATGTATCATGGGGAGGGGTCATACTACACCTGCAGTAACAAAGGATAGCAACTATCAGCCCCACTTATTGATTCTGTCGTCGAGGAAACATGAGTGGCTTTTTCCGCACGTTTACGCACACATGCACATGCAACGGAACGTGTATCTTCACCTGTCATCATCCAATCCTCCAGGGGTCCATCAGTGCATCATTAGCTTAGCACTTTTTCTTCATCTGGAGTACACTTTCACAAGGACATGGAAGATGATCTACAGTTATAACTTTTCATAAGACAGATTGGTGGAGGATAAAACAAAGACACCGGCTCAATATTCTGTCATCGACCGTCGTCTGTAACCGAGGCAACCGACACGGAGCTGTCATGATTGATTAGCCTCGGCCGGAGGTGTGAGACGGGCTTGCGTAAAGCCGCCTCCAAGCGACTGCTGAAAGTTCGATTCCCAATGAGGCCAGTTTGTCCACACCGTGACTTTGGGAGCATCCGTCCTCCTCGGTCCAGCACTGCGTCCGCTACACCACCGGCAGATCTCCCAGCGGGGGGGGGGGGGGGGGGGGGGGGGGGGGGGGGGGGGGGGGGGGCTTGAGTGCACATCAATAGTTTACGAAAGTGGAATAATGTGATTATGCATTGAGCTGAAGAGAATTCACAAAAACACCTAATTTCATAAATGTAAGTTGCCAGCTTAGATAGAAAATGTGGCCAATTTTTAGCTGTTAGTCAACATGGTGGCATTTGAGTTTAGAGCAGAATCCAAAATCACTTCCTTTTTATTACCAACTGCAGTCTGAGTCAACTATATGAGTGTGTGGCTCTGAACTCATTGTTAAAAACACACATTATAATTGTATTGGTTATGCTTTCTGCTCCAACAAGCTGCAATGGTGTGTTACTGTTGAGTCAAAATGCACTAACCCAACTTAAAATCACATTCATAGAAAACTGATAACATTGTTAATGTAATTGTTGGAGTGTAAATATGGGTGGAGAAGTAAACACTGTACTTCTATACACATTTTACTTCCCAAAGAAGCAGGTGATAATGCATATGTTTAGCTTTCACTGTGCAAAAACCTATTTCCATTTCCCGTGGAACCCGTGACCTCCATTCTTCATTCATTCTGTCATTTAAAAAGCGCACAGGGAGCCGAATGCAAAACAAGACTCCTCCAGATGACATTTCGGAGATTCAAGCGGCATTTTGTCTGCGCTCTCCATTGTGGCATATTCTTCCGAGGAGCTGTCTAGAAACCATGACCCAAAAATAGGATCCAGGCCGCCTCCCCCGCCACTTTAACAAATGAAAAGCTGTGCGGCTGTCCATTTATTCCAGATAAATGCCACAATGATGTCGGTTGTCCCTGGTTGATGAGTTCTGCCTGTCACCACAACAGCATTGCTTCTAAAAGCAGCTCATTTGAGCAACAACTGATTTGCCAAAAGGATGTGTTGAAGCCCCTTACTCTCACTTTAAAAGCCTGTTCAGACTCCCATAGACCTCATGCTGTAAATTCACAGTGTATATTCTACTACATAGTATTAAACTGGTGGATGTCAAATGAAAGTAGGGTCTTCTGGGAAGAAAAAACTCCTGCTTGTAAGTGGATTTTTTTTTTAGCACTGAGTAAAACAGAAGCACTTATTCCTTAAGTTATAACAGCTTTTCAGCATGAGACCCTGCTCTTCAGTATTTCAGCAGTTGATCAGTATCGAATACTGAATGATCACAGATTAGTGACGGTGTTTTTGCTACCTAGAAACGTCTCTGTGCTTTGGTGGAGTAGAGAAGCATTCGGCATTAACACTGTAACAGACCTGGGTTAAAATATACACTAACACTTTACGTTTACAATATCCACATATGTGACAGTAATGGAAGGACTTCACATTTTAAACGTTCACATTTCAAACTCACGCTGGTTTAACGGAAGAGAATTGGGGCCACGTGTTAATTTGTTTTAGATCGGAACAAAACAAACCAAAAAATCACTATTGTTCAGATCTCAATGAGAATGTGGCCCTCTTCCATGGGTATAACACTGATATGTGATGTACTGAAACAGCTATTGATTTAGTCTGATGCTACAGCACTTTTATTCTCACTTTAGACACAGTCAAAGGGAAATAAATCCCCAGACAGAGTTAAGATGTACAGTTTTATTTTGCCAGGTAGTTTAACATTATACATCTGCTGTTATTAATACATCTTTTATCCAAGATTCAAAGTGACAATACTACAGCACTTACATAAAACAAAAATACCTTAACTTCTCAAAGCTGCATGTTTTGAGTCTCTGATTCTAAAAGACAAAGCAAATATGTTTGCACCAGTTTCGAAAATGACCTACATGCTTTGATTTGTAATGAAGCACTTCCATGTGGTTGAGGATGGACATAATATCCAGGCTGGTATGTTCATGTGGAACAAACACAGAACAAGCCTTTAATATGTTCTACCCATTATTAGATTGTATGTTTTAGCCCAGGTCTGACTTGTAGTTATTAGCATTGGTTTGGTTATTCATTTACTGATGAAAAGTAGACACTCATCTCCCAGTATAATGGAGAAAAACACTGTCTAATGATGTGCATAGGGATTTAGGAAGTGTGTGTGAATGACAGAAAGAGTGTGTGTGTGCATGTGTGTTGGCATGTTTTAGATGCCATTGTAGCGATGTCAGTAATCAGCATTTATCTCTTTGTAAGTTGGCACATTAAAGCACTAACCAGAATGTCTCTGCATCACTCTGTGTCTCATTTTGTTGTCACATCCTGTGAGCGTTGAAACGATTATTTAACTTTTAGTATTATTTACCGAACCAGGATTGTTGTAAGCTAAATTCAACACAATAAACCCTTTCATAATGGACTGTAGTTCAGGTATAAGACCTCTCAGAAAAAAGGAAAACCACCACTAAGATAGACATTTTTAAATATGTTGTATTGTTTTTTACCATGAGTATAAATGCTTATTAATATGGTGATGTACGTGGTGCATTCAATGTCCAAAGTCAACACTAGTTTCCCTCCAAATTAGCAAAATACATTTTTAATTTATGTATATTTCTAAGTATTCCTGTTGTTTGATGGATTTGCTTGCATTCAAAATAAACCGGTGGTGGTATTCATTCTTCTGTTGGGTGCCATTAAAGCAGAAGAAGTGGGTGCAAGGATATAAAGTAAGTAGACTGTGTTACCTTGTCACATCGATATATTACCTTTTTCACTTTTTAAAAGGTGGAGCATGTTATTGATGCCATGGCGTACTGAGAGCTCAGGGAACACCTGTACATCACTGCAAGGATGTAAGACTTGAGATACAAATGATATCAAGGAGTGTTGAATCTTTCCAAGATTCAATGGCCTAGTTAAGACTTGTAATGTAAAATCTGTGCTTATACTGCCCTCTGCTGTCCACACTCTGACATGAGAAACTGATTTCCAGAATGTAGCAGTGCAACCACTACATTAAGTTTACTTAAAAACTTCAGGATACAAACACTATTTTCCCATAATGCAACACTTAACGTAAATGGCAGAAGATTGACTTCTCAGAAACAAAAAACTAATTAATTGATCTTCTTTTTGTGATCTTTTATTGACATTTAAAAGTGTCAGTGTTACACTAATTCTATTTTCAAAAGCAGTTAGACCATCAGATTTCAGGTTGCTGTTGTACTGGAAGCTCCCTAGCAATGTACATTATGATGACATCACGGAAGTGGGTGTGGTTACAGGTGCACCAGGCTTTGAGTGAGTGAAAAAAGGTAATTATCCAACAGAATATGAAAGTGAAGGCAATGTCAACAAAGCACAAGTGTTCCTCTAAATATATCTCCTCCCCAAGCCCAGCAGGGGCAGCCCCCCCACCCCAGACAGCAGTCAGGGGGCCCAGCCGGCTGCTCGGGATGCCAGTCAGTGCCGGACATTCTGTTTCTGGAACATTCTCTCACAGCTCCCTGCAGGCTGAGTGTATCTGGGAGTGTGTGGATCATTCTCTGCATCGTCTCTAATAATAGCAGCACCAATGTGCGTAATGGAGCCATTACAGTAACCAAGTCTTACTTTTGAAAAGCCAGGAAACCCAAAGTGGGTATATCAGTTTATCAGCAAATCTAATATTAGTACATGTGTAACGGTGCTGCCATGTAACCACTGTACCCCCCCCCCCCCACCCCCCACACACACACTCTCTGCACAGTGAATATTAACCATTTTATCATGTTGAAGCTCAAGAATACCAGGCTTGGTTTTTAATGTACAAATCTTTGTTGCTGAATAATCTATGACCGAAATCCATGAACATTAAAATCACTACCAGGGACTGAAAGTAATTAACTACAATATTGAGTTACTTATTTCCAGTTTTGCTACTTTATAGCCTACCCATTACAAACTCCTATTTTTGACTTTGTACTCAACTACATGTATCTGACAGTCTTAGTTACTTTATAAATGTTGTTTATTAGCTAATACAAAATATAAATTAACTAGTAAATACACATATTGACATATATGTATAGGCTAAATATAGGTTAATATGCAACAGCAGTATACAAAGTAGCCTACCTAAAGTTAACATTTTTAATAATCATATCCAGTCACTTATTATTGTAAGATTGGCCATTACTTTTAACCCATAAGGACCCACCGTGACACATGATACTTTTGGTAGTTAAAATATATTTTTGTATTTTTTTAAAATGTTGAATCCAGGACTCCAACAATTGAGTATTTCTTACATAAAGTTAAAGCTGGATTCCGTGGTGTTTTGATATACATGTGGTCACGCTGGTTGCCACGCCCACCTGAGGTCAGAGGTCACCCCAGGTTGGTTCACTCCGACCTTTAGCATGTCGCTCTTCTTCCGGAAACAAGCGTCAGCAGCAATGTGTCCGCAGGGTGTCGGGTTTTACGCCTGGGGTCCTTTGAACCAGTCTGGGCCCCGAGGAGACCACCTCCTAGCATCCTACTATTTAGAGGTGGGAATGCTGCGACCCCCAGCCCCCCCCCCCCCCCCCCCCCCCCCCCGAACACCTGCTCTGCCCCGTCCACCCGCCTGTCAGAGAGACCCAGCCTTCGTCCTCCACCGGAGCTCCTGTCTTCACATCGGGCAACTTTTGGCTGTTTGTTCTGGATTTGTACTTTGGATCTTTTCCCCATCTCCTGGTGGATTTACCTGTGTGTTAATAACCCCCCCACCTTGTAACTTTTAACACCCGGTGCCCTGATCCATGGCGGAGGGTGTGCGTCCCGAGGACTACTGCAACGAGCCGGTGGAGGACGAGTTTGGAGAGATCATCAAGTGTCGATCAGGTAGAACAGCTTCATTGTGTGTGTGTGTGTGTGTGTGTGTGTGTGTGTGTGTGTGTGTGTGTGTGTGTGCGTGTGTGCGTGTGTGTGTGTGTGTGTGTGTGTGTGTGTGTGTGTGTGTGTGTGTGTGTGTGTGTGTGTGTGTGTGTGTGTGTGTGTGTGTGTGTGTGTGTGTGTGTGAAAGAAACCATATGCTTGGCTGCTGAGGATGCTCTGACAACTCCTTAAACACACACTTTGACACACTGTCACCATCACACTGACAGCTGTCACAGGAAGTGGAGTTCTGAAATGTGGATGAGGATGATGATGAGACAAAAAAAAGTTATTTGGGTCCAGTCAGATGCCTTTAGGTTGAAACAAGTCCTACTTTTTGAGATTGCTGTGGCAAATGTTGAACTACATTTCCCAGGAGCACTATGTCTTTCCTTCTAAAGAGGATGTTGACACAGGGTTTTGTCAAATCTAAAAACAGCTGATGCCTGTGACCTTGCTAGCATTTCTTTGGTAGTCCCTGTGCGTGTGCGTGTGTGTGTGCACTCAGTGCTCTGTGTATGAGGTTTTAAATGATGGAACGTTAGAAGTAAGGCACTGTCCCCCATAGAGGACATGGGTTAACGTACTTCGAAAGACTATGAATATACACTCCTGATGAAGAACAGGAACCATACGTCTCGTTTAATATGATCACTTACTAGACATTGGGTGTAGCTCTCTTATATTTTGTAAGTGACACCCCCATGTGTGTTACATCACTAGAATGGTATGCTTTATACAGTACATTAGGATTGAAATAGACTGCACGCCTGGTGTTTGAGATGCAGGCCTCAGTGTCAGACCCTAATATGAATTGTCCTGTCTCAGGAGAGTAAACAGTTGGGCTTTGGTCCCAACATAGGGGTTGGGCCCCTTTAAGTTGGATATAATGTTGTGGGGTCGGGCAGTGATTGTTATATTGTTAGAATGGATAACTTTACCAATTTGGGTCAAACTGAAAGCATGTGTTTAGACTAGAAATGTGTGTTTGGTTGAACAGCTAATATGCATCCGAATTCAGGCCTTGTTTGAATACATTTTGGTGTGCAAAGATTACAATACTTTTTCCTGAAAAGGAGTGAAGTTTCAAGAAATAGAAGCGTCCTTTTGACTTCAGAATTTCCCTTTTAGTTTAGCGAAGTCCTCTCTGTCCTTGCTTCTTTGTAATCAGGACCCAATAGTTCCCTGGCTCCTGTCAGTTCCTCCTCGCCCAGGCTGAATGTGCTCTGGGTGAAAGTGCTGTTTGTGTGGCCGTGACACTGAATGTCTCGCAGCGTGCTGAGATGAGTTAGAGGCCGCAGAGGTTTGATTTCCCAATATAGCGCTTGTAAATACTGTATGTCCTGGAATGGTCCACCGGGTGGTGAGACACAGAGACTAACAGACTGACAGGCTGACAGGCTGACAGAGACAGACAGATGGACAGTGGGCTCAAGGATCTTTTTATACAAATAGAGTAGTGCAAGGATGAATGGATTAGAAAAGAAACTGTGGCAGACAAACATTTATGATGCTTAAAAGTGTTGTTCAGAAGGATAATCCTAACATATTTACACTACTTTAATAACTCATTCCTGCACCACTCAGGAACTGCTCCCTCACTCATCCCCTCTCTTCTTGAGTGTCCTGCTTGCTCAAAAAAGGGTTAATTAATAAATAAAGCCCCCCCCTTCTCTTGCGCACTATTTCTTGTCTGTGTGTCTCCCCCCCCCCCCAATGTACAGCTGCCGCCTGCTGGGTCACCCCACGCTGTAAATAGCGGTCAGCTGGCCTGATGGAGGTTGTTGTGCGGTGTCAGATAGCCTGGCCTGGGGGGATTACTGTGCCCCCCCACCTCTCACTTTCTTACTGTCCCCTTCCAAACTGCTCTTCCATTGCTTCTCCCTCACCCTCTCCCTCTTCTTGTTACCCCTTTGCCCCCCATTGTATCTCCTCTCTCTGATTTACTTCTCAGTATATCTCACATTTTCTCTTTTTTACCCACCCTGTCTGTCAGCAGCTAAATCTGTCTGTCTGTCTCTGGTCTGCATAGGCAACACCTCAAACATGCCGTAGTCGAGTGTGTGGTGTAATGTATGCATAAAAACATGTCAGTATGTTATTACTGGTACAAATAATTACATTATACTATAAGCTAGTATCAGAATAGTAAGTCAGATTTGACACGTCTAAATAAGCATTTGATTATTTCTTGATGAATCCTGATTTCAAAGACAATATGTTACTTAACCTGTTCCTTATGTTTTGTCTCCATAAAGATTCCCACACACGGTCAGCAATATATTCATTAGAAAGTGCCGAGTGTGCAGGAGGTCACTACCTTCTGTTGACTTCTCCTCTACACCTGTCTACCAGCTGTGACCCAGACCAGATTCACTCCTAACATTTAACGTATTGTTCATTGTGATTTTTATTTTGACAACAGATGGATGGATTGACGACGGTGTTTCCTTGGCTCTGCATTTTTCATTATGATTTGCAATTTATACCAAAACGCATTCTATCTTCAGCCAATGACACTTGATTTATCCGTCCTCCAGGCTGTGTGTGTGTGTGTGTGTGTGTGTGTGTGTGTGTGTGTGTGTGTGTGTGTGTGTGTGTGTGTGTGTGTGTGTGTGTGTGTGTGTGTGTGTGTGGTGTGTGTGTGTGTGTGTGTGGTGTGTGTGTGTGTGTGTGTGTGTGTGTGTGTGTGTGTGTGTGTGTGTGTGTGTGTGTGTGTGTGTGTGTGTGTGTGTGTGTGTGTGTGTCGGAGTGTGTGTGTGCATTAATGTGAGTATGTCTGTGAGGCTGTGGGGGGCTAGATTGATTTTAAAATTGTAGGATTCATCAACACTGACAACCCTTTATCGTGCGTGTGTGTTTGTGTGTCATGTCTTCCTTGTTATCACGCCCCACAGGTCCATTACCACTTCACGATTACCCATCATACCTTGGGTACTTTCTCTTTACTAAACCTCCCGCTCTTCGCCTTTTCTCTTCGCTCCCTTCTCTTTTCTTTCCTCCCTCCTCTCCATGTCTCCTCATTTCACTTCACTCCTGTGCTCTTCACCTCCTTTGATTTCTCTCCTGTCGTCAGGAAGGGAGGGACTCGGAGAAAAAGTTGCAATTTCATATCTGTCTGCTTCTTCAGCACCAAGGACAGCGCCATAGATTTATCAGTACACATATACATTGAGCGGATTTCTTTTTCTCAGCAACTTTCAAACATATTTTGTCCAATTAGGACAGAGCGTATGCTGCAAACAAATGACGAGAATGAATGAAATACAATTCTTTATTTCCAATGGAGCCGTCATCAGCCGTCTAAACATCAGTCAGAGTAATGATCAGTGAATCAGACAGAGTAACACCCAAACACTGCCCCTTCAATCCCTCTGTTACTAGGGGATGGGGAGGGGGGGTGGCAGTTTAACAATGGGGAAAGTATTTTGGTCAATCTACTAACAAGGGTATGGCATCCCCCTTCATACAGTATTACAGTGCTGCTGGGATTAAAGTTGTCCTTTGGCCTTTCAAATCTGTCAGCAGCATGGGGGGGGTCGTCTGGGGGACAATGTAGTGAAAACAAGGTGGATGCATTCTTAATAAGAATTGAGTCATTATGTTATCCTGCTGTCTCCATATGTTTACAAGACATGAAGATCTCAACCAGCAGAGACAAACACCTCTCTAACCAACCTGTGTCTGGCTGACCGGAGAACAGCTGTACCGTGTTCCGGTCACATGATGGGAATGAGCAGTGCTAATTTCTCAAGGCTGAATGAGAAATGGCTTCTGGGAAATAGAACTTTGAAGTGCTTGGTTTAATAGGATTCTAACCAAAGTCATGCCAAACGCTTAGAGAACACAGGATCAGTTATAGCTCAGAAGTCAAATATTTAACTGGAGAAAAAGGAAGCAACATGAAACAAGATGGAGTTGGCATTTATTCAAGGACAAATGTAAGAATAGTTATCAAAAGTGTGTTCAATGGATGTAACCGAAGCTACACTCGTCAGCATTTTGAGCTAATCATCTTACCACCTAAATAAATGCTAATTCAATCCTGTTTCCGAGGTCAAAGAGCACATCAGTAATAAGGAAGGAAGGAAGCCACAATTTCAAGTTTAAAAACACAACTTTAAAGTCCCAGCTCTGAGTGAGTTTGTCTGCATGATGTAATGTCCGGACAGAAGATGGCAGCAGAGGCAGCCGCTGGCTCTGAGTCAGTCCTCAGAGAGACTGTGTGAGATGCTGGCAATGAAGATGAATGTGTGGGAACAGATCCGCCTGTTCTTGGGAGATTTGAGTCTGGCTCTGTATGAGAGAGGGACAGACAGGAGCAAACAAAACAAGGTGGTGGAGAAGAAAGGCAGCTGTTGCACGGGTGGTGAAACCAATGACTGAATAACAATGGAAACACACACTGTCTTTCAATCAGGATGGAGTGGAGGGTTCAGAGGATGATCTGACCCACATGGAGTTTCTGGGTCACTACAGGCCAGAGGAGGAGGTGTGTGTGGAGGTTATAATGAGTCTGGCAGTCAGATATCCCACTGGAACTCAGCATACAGACACTTTCTGGGTTAGGAGGACTCACGCCAGGAAAAGTGGGTTTTTCAGAATCAGGACGCACCCTGCTCTCAGAGAAGTGGGCCAACAGCTCGCAGCAGGTCGGCTCTGATGGAGGCGGAGTCACGCTGGGCTGAAGGCAACCGCAAGAAGTTATTCTCCCTGCACATTATCACGCCTCAGCGATGTGTCAAGCCTCTCTTCTCATCACCGCTCGCAGACGGTTGATGTGAGGACACCATGTCTGACACTGTGATTTGTTCGCTGTCTAGAAAGGGATCAGGTGTATGCTGAACCTGATCAGGCTCAGGATCCTCCCTGGGTTTGCGCTAGTTTGGATTTTTCAATTGTGGATCAACAGTTTTTGTTAACTTTTAAACGGATAATGAATGAACAGAGTCTCATTTTGGATACTT